GGCCCCACCTCCCACCGCCCCCAGTGCAAGGAGGGTGCACGCAGCCTTTGCTCAACATTTGTCCACTTTCCAGGGCCAGGACGACTCCAGGCGCTGCTCTGGTTCCCCCGAGGATACCCCGCGGAGCAGCGGTGCCTCCGGCATCTTCGACCTGAGGAACCTGGCGGCTGACTCGCTGTTGCCCTCGCTGTTGGATCGGGTAGCCCCGGAGGACGTGGACCGCCGCAATGAGGCCCTGCGGCGGCAAAACCGGCCCCGCGCACTGCTTACGCTCTACCCCGCCCCCGACGAGGTGGGTTGCTGGCCCGGGATGGGTGGCTGGCTGAAGGACGCAGTTCCTTCCCGGTTGTGATCCAGCCTGCGGTCAGCGTGTGCCTTCCACTGGCCCGGGCTGCAGGCTGTAGCCCTTATACGTGACTGCTGTGTAGTCTTGGGTTGCTTAGGCACCGACTGTATATCCTTGTGTCTATCCAACCTGCACGCATCCATTGCTCAGTGGTACTAGGGATCCAACCTAGGTCTGCTCTACCACTGCGCTGCAGCGCTAGCCACCACCGTCACCGCCACCACCTGCTTTGTTTCGTTTTCAAAAATGCGTTTAGGGGCTGGAGAGATGGCTCAGTGGTCTAAAGCACCTACTTGGAACAAGCTTGGCAAAGCACAGGGACCACAGTTCGATCCCCCAGCACCACATGCCAGCCAGCCCCGCCCCCTGGTGGACTGAGCTGGCCACACACACACACAATAAATAAATGTAAAATATAAATAAATAAACAGCGGAATACATTTAAAAAAAAAATGCGTTTAGCCAGGTGTGGTGGCATGCACCTGTAATCCCGGCACTTGGGAGGCTGACACGAGGATTACTGTGAATTTGAGACCAGCTTGGGCTACAAAGTGAGCTCAAGGTCGGCCTGGCCTGCATAGTGAGACCCTGTCTCAAAGAGACACACAAAAAGTGCATTTAAGCCACCTCGCTCTCGGGACATCATGTAATCCACTTACCTGACTGCCTTTTCCGGGGTGTGTGAGTTCGGACAGTGTTCCCGCGTCGTCCAAGCAGGAACTCACTAGGAAGCCCAGGCTGGCTTTGAACTCATGGAGTTCCTCCCAGCTCAGCCCATATAATTGACATTGGGGACACAGCCATGACTAAGAGTGACCCCGTGGCCACCCTCAGTGGAGGGGCAGGGCCATCTTTACTAGGAAGTTGGAGTCTGGACAGAGTAGCGCCGTCATGGCAGTCCACTGCAGTAGGGTCTCCGTGCTCAAGGAGGACTTCCCCAGGAGGGGACAGCAAAGCCAGGCCCTGAACAGTAGGCAGCCTTATGCAGTAGAAGGAAGAAATGAGGCCAGGAAAGGTCTTCAGGGCAGGGGAACCGTATGTACAAAGGCTCAGAGGCCGGCCCCATGGCAGGCTGGCAGCCCAGTAAAGCTGACCTCAGACGTAGTGCACCAGGCCCCAGCTGTCCCCGGGCTCTTGGCAGGATGAGGCCGTGGAACGCTGTACCCGCCCAGAGCCACCCCGGGAGCACTTTGGACAGAGGATCCTGGTGAAGTGTCTGTCGCTCAAGTGAGTACCCGACCCCAGAGGTCTGAGTGGAAGTGCGGGCTTCAAGAGTGATATCATGACTTCGTGTGGCCCTGCACCCTGTGAGGTCACCACAGGCTTTCGGTAGTTATTTCATTTTGGGTTTTTTGAGACAGGGTCTCGAAAGATAGTCCAGGATAGCCTTGAACTCTCCATAGCTCAAGCTGACTTCAAACTTGAGGAAATCCTCCTGCCTCAGCCTCCTGAGTGCTGGGAGTAAGGCATGTGGCTCCAGACCTGGCCCTATCTTTGTTATTTTAGGCTACCAGTCCTTATGCACCCACTGAGCACCACTCTGTTCTCAGCCTCTCGCCTATATAACTCATGTTCACCACAACCCTGTGAAAGGGGTGGGGTTGGGGGGGAGACTGAAGCATAGCGTGCAACACCACTGTGCCCAGGATCACAAGACTGATGAAGCCAGAGCTGGGCACTCATCTTCTCTCCTGCTGGGACAGGGTGAGGTGGGTGCTGGTGCTCCTGGCTCCCAGCCGCCCTCGGCCCCATGCATATCGGCTGCTGCAGCGTCAGAGGCGCGTGGGAACAGAGCTGAACAGGATGTGGACTTGGAAAGCAGCCTGGTCCTGCTCCTCCCCACCCCCAATTCCTGTCTGCATCAGGGCAGGAAAGGGAGGTTCCATTCTGGCCTGAGATCTGAATGGGCCTTCCTCCCACCCCTTAGCCCAGGGATTGAAAACCAGCTCCGTGAGCTCCTTTAGTCATTTAACAAACACCTGGTAAATAGAACACAGAACCAGGGTGTGACCACACAGATCCTTGATGAGAGACCCATAGGGGATCTTGGGTCACAGATTGAGGGGCAGAGGTACAGGGGGAACAGGACAGTGTCCCTGGGAAGCAGACTTCTAAGCTAAGAGGTACATTTTTTCCTGGGCTGGGGAGGGTGATAAGGAAAAACTTCAGTTCTTGAAAGGCCTTTAGTGCCCGTTTCCCCTTTTGCAAATGGAATGCACCTGCAGCAGTGGTTCTTTGTGACCCCAAGTCACCCAGAGAATGCCCCTGTACCTCTGCTGCTCTTCCCTGCGGCTGGGGAGCGTGGTGTGGGTGGTGGCGGTGTCAGGGAGAGCCCCTCATTTATCTGCAGGTTTGAGATAGAAATTGAACCCATCTTTGGGATCCTGGCCCTGTATGATGTTCGGGAGAAAAAAAAGGTAGGTGCCTTCATTCTCTGCCTTCCCTTGGTGGGTGGCTGTGGGCTTCCTGGAGGCAGTGACCCAGCTGCCACTGTGCCCCCAGATTTCAGAGAATTTCTACTTCGACCTCAACTCCGACTCCATGAAGGGGCTGCTTCGGGCCCATGGCACCTATCCTGCCATCTCCACTCTGGCCCGATCCGCTATCTTCTCTGTGACCTACCCCTCTCCTGACATCTTCCTGGTCATCAAGGTGCCCCTGGGGACAGGCAGGGGGGATGACAGTGGTGAATGCCTTCGTGGAGTGACAGATATTACCAAGCAGGGGGATCCTAAAGGAGTGCTGGGGACCCCAGCCAGCCCAAGCAGGGAGAAATCCTGGAGGGTTTCCATGGGGAGGTGATAAATGAGCTGAGACCCTGAGTAGGCCGCCAGGGGATGAATGACGTTCCAGACCCACGCAGCAGCCCTGGGCGCCCTTGCGAGACTCACTGACGGGTGCCGATGGCCCCTCGTACCCCACAGCTGGAGAAGGTGCTTCAGCAAGGGGACATCAGCGAGTGCTGCGAGCCCTACATGGTGATGAAGGAGGTGGACACGGCCAAGGTACGCGACGGAGGAGGACCGGGCGGAAGGGCAGGTGCCTGTTGGGTTCTAGAGGTGTCAAGCTGGTGGGGACGGGGATCTCCCTCCAGAACAAAGAGAAGCTGGAGAAGCTGCGCCTGGCAGCCGAGCAGTTCTGCACCCGCCTGGGCCGCTACCGCATGCCCTTTGCCTGGACAGCCGTGCACTTGGCCAACATTGTGAGCAGCGCCGGGAATCCTGACCGAGACTCAGACTCCGAGGGCGGTAAGGGGGCGAGGCTACTGGGCGGGAAAGGCAGGACAAGGGCGGGTCACCCGTGGAAGAGGCGGGGCCGAGTTACCTGGAGAGGATGAGTGATTGGGCAGGACTCCAGGGGGCGGGGAAGTGGGCGTGGCTACCCTTGGAGGCGGGGCCTGGAGAGAGGCAAGCTCTCTGCTGCCCGCCTCCCTAGCTGGAGTCTCAAGTCTGTCTTGTCCTTCCCTGTCTGTTTCATCACCTCCCTTGTCCCTAGAGCGTCGTCCCGCCTGGAGTGAGCGTCGCCGTCGGGGACCCCAGGACCGATCCAGTGGTGGGGACGATGCCTGTAGCTTCTCTGGTTTCCGCCCGGCCACACTAACTGTGACCAACTTCTTTAAGCAGGTGTGGAGCCGTTGGTTAGTGGTGCCTGGGTCTGTGTGTCCCCAGCTCTTGTGGCTGCGTTGATCCCCAGGACTTTCAGCCCGTTGGCTGCCCCTGGCTTACAGGGACCTATTTCCGGTAGGAGGCTGAACGACTTAGCGAGGAGGATCTCTTCAAATTCCTGGCGGACATGCGGCGCCCCTCATCCCTACTGCGGCGCCTGCGACCTGTGACCGGTGTGTGGGGCACCCCGTATACAAGGGGAGTTGTTTACTGAGTGCCTACTTTTGCAGGCACTGGGGATCCAGCTATGACAGACAAAGCCCAACTGCAGACTGGAACTTACAGTGGGGACCACAGAAGAGAAACAGAATGAATAAGACACACAGTGGGTTCCAGTAAGGGAACCTGGTAGCAGAGGGATGTGGGGCCCGAGGGAAGCACTGATGGGAAGTGGCTGAGAGACAGAGGAGCTGGGTGAATTGTGGCTTTTTCTTTACTTTTTGTGTTTTGGGCACTGGACCCAGGACCTTTGCACTGAGCTACCCATCTTCATGTCAAGCCCAGACTCACAGCAATCCTCATGCCTCAGCCGCCTGAATGCAGGGATGACAGGCATGTGCCATCATGCCCAGTTAACTTTTTTATTTTTTGACAGAGTCTCACTAAGTGCCCAAGGTGGGCTTGAACTTTCATGGTTCTGGGATGGCAGGCATGTGCTTCCCCCTTCACATGTGGCTTTTGACTCTTAAGGACAGAATCATCAGCGGGCATCCAGGGAGAAATGGAGCTGGGCCTTGAGCCCAGAGGGGCCCTCGGCCAGAAGGCTCCCGGACCAGTGCCAACCAGCTCTCTCCTTCCCAGCTCAGCTCAAGATTGACATTTCCCCGGCTCCTGAGAACCCCCACTTCTGCCTGAGCCCTGAGCTGCTTCATATTAAGCCCTACCCAGACCCCAGGGGCCGGCCTACCAAGGAGATCCTGGAGTTCCCTGCCCACGAGGTCTACGCCCCGCACACCTGCTACAGGTACAGCCCTTGTGGCAACATCCAGCCAGCCGGGTGACATCCCCCTTGCACACAGACACACGGCAGACGAGGGCTGAGATGCTCTGCTTTTATGTTTCTTTTTTTTCTGGAACCGGGGATTGAACTCAGGCCCTTGCGCTTGCCAGGCAAGATGCTCTGAGGCACGAAGGAGCGCACGTCCTTCCTCTTCCCTCCTCATGGGGCCGTGTCCTCTGCCTGTGCCCCGCTAGCCGCTGCCTCTGCTCTGTGCCTGAAACCGGGGGGCGCCCTGGCCAACCCCAGCAGACAGGCAGCTCCACCTGTGCAGGGCCAAATGGCGTGCAGACATGTCCCTTGCTGTGCGACTGATCCTCAGATCTGCTCGGGAGGCTCAGGCCGGGAGCGCCGCTGCGTGCAGTCTGGGAAGGATATGCAACTCCATCAGTCAATGCAAGGGGGCCCCTGGCCCCTGCCCTGGGGGTCCCAACTCTGCCAGGCTTACCGCTCCTGGATCTGTCGCAGCCATTGCTGCTGCACCACCATCTCCTGCTTCTGTCGCTGCATGTGGCCCATGATGACCCACATGAGGTAGCTCTGCTTGTTACTGTGAGCCTGTGGAACACAGGAGGAGAAGCATAGTGAGGCCCCTGTCACCTCCCACACCGTGGCCCTGCCCACGCTTTTTGCAGTTTTCTGTTCCATCTGTGTGACTTTGCAAGTCTCTGGTGCACTGGTGCTTTCTGCTCTCAGTGTCCACATCTGTAAAATGGGTCTTGGATATGGCTTGCTTTGTTGGGTTCTAAGTATTATATGGTTTATTATTACAAGGACATCCAACAATGCTGGGTAACTGTTGGGTAGTCAAGACACAGCTCTGGGTATTCTAATCATAAGCCTTAACTTTTTTTTTTTTTTTTTTTTTGTATCTTAGGGAAGGGTCTACAGGGTGTTCAGGGTCTCACTACTAGATCGGACTCATAGTGATCTGCCTGTTTACAGCCTCCCAAGAGCTGGGATTACAGGTGTGTGCCACCACACCCAGTCTCAATTGTCATCTCAGTGCGCCCCAGGGATGGGGCCAGCATGGCAGGTCCGGAGATTGAGCCCCTACCCCTGCGCCTGCCTGGAGGCGCTTTAATCTGCAGAGCTATTTGGCTGGCCCCATTTACTTATTTTTAAAAATTTGTTTTATTTTTTTAGACAGGGTCTCACTATGCATGCAGTTCAAGCTGGCCTTGAACTGCATAGTGAGCCTTCTGCCTCAGTTCCCCAAGTACAGGGCTGATGGGGGTGTACCAAAAAGGCCAGTTAGAAGTATTTGTTGAAGCTAGGTGTGGTGGCACGCTCCTGTCATCCCAGTGCTCTGGAAGGGCAAGGCTAGAAGATTACAGTTTCAAGCCCAGCCTGGGCAAATTAGCAGGATTGTCTCAAAATAAAAAGGGCTGGGGGTGGAGCTCAATGTGAAGGCCCTGGGTGCAGTCCCTAATAACACCCAAGCCAATTATTTTTAAAGTATTGACCACCTCCTTTGTGTCCTCCTCCTGCACGGAATCCCTGACTTTGCTGTGAAATATCAGCTGCTCCCCTTATTGGAAAATGGGGAAACTAAGGCCCAGATGAGAACATGAGCTGTGCCCGGGGCTCGAGGTTCGGAGGCGAGCTGTGTCTGACCAGGAATGGTGGCCGCAGCCCTCCTAGCACGGGGCATCCCTTACCTTTAAGGTCTCCAGCTCGTGCCGGGCGTGGCCCAGCCAGGCGTCCCTTAGCTGGGTTTGCAGCCGCTGCACGCCATCCTGCAGCACCTGCTGTGCCTGGCCTGCCTGCGCCAGCTCCTGGGCTGCGGCCTCCGCCTGCGCCTGCAGAGCATCCTCGTCCATCTGCTCGGTAGACAGGAAGCCGTTAGGAAGGTTACAAGGTTGTCTTTGCCCAGTCGTCTTTACAAGACTTGTGCCTTGGGAACCTCTGGTCTGGGTGCATCGGGACCTGCTAGGCATTCACTCCTCTCTGGTTTCCTGTTCACCCTGCAACATCCCAGCCTCAGTGCCCACCTGGATCTCCGACAAGTTTGTACGGAGTTCCTGAGTTGCATCCCGGCCTTGGCTGACTTCTAGTCCCAGAAACTCTAGGACGTGGCCAGAGAGGTCCACGCCGTGCCTGGCCTCCGTCAGCCGCTTCTCGGTGGTCCTGTATACGCCATTGAGGGCCTGGCTCAGCTGGAGAACCCCATGGAGGAGCAAGGTCAGCTCTTCATACTGTGCCGGCTCCGTACTGCCCGTGGGTTCCACCGGGGCAGAGCAGGCCACTGTGGCCAGGACCCCTAAGAGGCACAGAGTGAGCGAAGGCATGGCTGGCGGTCTGGAGCTGTGTGACCACAGTGCCGCTGCCACTGCCTTTTATGTCCCCGCACTGCCATTTACCCCAGTCAATGGTTAACTGGCCTTGTCGCTGCGCGGTGTTGTGCAAGGCCTGGCTGGGGCATCGTGGTTGCATCAGGCAGATATCTGGCTGGGCCACGCTGGGATCACGCCGGCTGGGGTGCGGGGCCAGCTGTGGTGGGGGCCACAAGGAAAGGACAGGCCCAGGCAGCTGCTGGGCCATTCTGGGGGTCCCCATGCTGAGCGTCAGTTACTCCACCATATACGGGCAGAACAGAGGACAGTCAAGAGTGGAAACTGGGTAGGGTGGTGCGCACCTGTAATCCAAGCATGTGGGAGGTGGGGGCAGGAGGGTCTCAAGCTAGAGACCAGCCTTGGCTATCTAAGTACGACCCTGGGACAAATAGTCATGCTCATGGTACCCAGGAGCACCAGGGCCTTGCACAGAGCTGTCCCGGATATATATATCCTTGCTGTCCAGGGGCACAGGTACCTTCCCATGAAACTGTGTGTGCTGCATGATCTTAGATAGCCTGGGTAGTGACTGGGGAACAAGGGGTAGGTGACAAAGTCCTCTGTGAGGCCACACAGCCCATCTCCAGGAGGCAGGAAGGCCTCTGTCTGTGCTAACCCCGGAGGACGGGGGCGCCTGCCTGACTGCGCCTTCCTGTACAGTAGGGGTGCTGTGGGTCGCCCTATCCAGCATGCTTGTCAGGAGTACATGAATAGTTTCGCACTGAGTGCTTGGAGCCTGGCACACAGTAGGTGCCACTGTTGAGTGTTTGGTGCAGTGATTGTCACCGTGGTCCTTTACCATCCTTGATGTGTTTGGCTGGAAGGCCTGATGCCCCCATTATACGGACAGGGAAACCAAGGCCCAGAGGGAGGTTGGGCTTGTACAGAGGAAGGAAACTGCTGGCTCTGGCCTGTTTCCCCACTGGGGAGGGCATTTGGGCCTGAGGTGCAGGTCAGCGTGGCAGGAATTGGGCAAGACCTCTGGCTACCTGGGCTGCCAACCTGAAACTCTAGCCCTGAGTGCCCACCCAAACCCCCATCTGTGTGATTCAGGATGGCCTTCTGTCCCCTCCACACCCTCTGCTGGTGCGACCTCTTCCTGTTCCTTGGAATGGCGTCACCCTGCCCTTAGCATCCCCGCCTGTGATCTGTGTCCCCAGCCCAGCTCGTCCCAGCTGTCAGGCCGCTGGTGTCCCCGTGGGGACCCTGTCCCCTTACCTGCCATTCCCCTGCAGGAACCTCCTCTACGTGTACCCGCGTAGCCTCAACTTCAGCAGCCGCCAGGGCTCTGTGCGGAACCTTGCGGTGCGGATCCAGTACATGGCTGGCGAGGACCCCAGCCAGGCCCTGCCGGTCAGTGGCTGTGCCCTGTAGGGAAGGAGCGGGTCATGGACATGGGGGGCTCTCTCATGTCCCCCACTCCCCCAGGTGATCTTCGGCAAGTCTAGCTGCAGCGAGTTCACCCGCGAAGCCTTCACACCCGTCGTCTACCATAACAAGTAGGTGGGGACAAGGACGCTGGTGTTGGCATAGAAGGGGGTACATGGGCTCTGGAGTCAGGAGATGCATGCACCCAGGACAGCAGCATTCCTGGGACTCAAGGGGACAGGAAGAAGGGCAGTGGAAGCTTCAGGAGTGCTAACGGGGAAGTTGAGGCAGAGGTGACAGCAGAAGGGATGGAGTCTACATGGATCCCACCCCACCCTATCCCACCAGGTCCCCCGAATTCTATGAGGAATTCAAGCTGCGGCTGCCAGCATGCGTGACCGAGAACCATCACCTGCTCTTCAGCATCCATCACGTCAGCTGCCAGCCCCGGCCTGGCGCAGCTCTGGAGACGCCTGTGGGCTTCACTGTGAGCCTTGCACCCTGCCCCTGCCCTCGCTGTCCCTGGCCTTCGGGCCTAACCCCGGAGCTGACCCTGGTCTCTCTGCAGTGGATCCCACTGCTGCAGCATGGCCACCTGAGGACTGGGCCCTTCTGCCTCCCCGTGTCCGTGGACCCACCCCCGCCCAGCTACTCTGTGCTCACCCCTGACGTACGTACGTGCGACCTGCTGCCAGGGCGACCCTGATCCTAGGCCCTGTCCCCTCTGGGACACTCGGGGTCCTCCACAGTTCCTCTGGCGCCCCTGCATGGCTGCTTCTGTGTCTTTTTATTCCGTGTGTCCCTGCCTGTCCCCTATCTAGCCCTTCCCTTTGTGCTCCCTATCTCTTGCCAAGGTTCCCCCTGCCTGCCTCTCTGCTCTGCCCTTCTGCCTCCCCTCTTTCCGGCCTTCCTCCTCAATTATTGTCCGCCAAGAATACTCCAAGAACCAGGTACAGTGACACACACCTGTGACCCAGCACTTTAGGAAGCCGATGCAGGAAAATCACAAGTTCAAATCCCACTTGGGCAACTTGGCATGACCCTGCCTCAAAAATAATAATTTTTTTCTTGGTATTCTTGAGATAGGGTCTTGATCTGTAGGTCATGCTGCTTTGGAGGTCACTGTATATCCCAGGCTGGCCTCAAAGCTGAGGTGAACCTGCTTCGGCCTCCCAAGTGCTGGTCAAAAGAAATGCTGGAAAGGGTGGTGGGTGTCACTCAGTGCAGAGGCCCCGGGTTCAGTCTGTAATAACACACACTTGTGCACATAGGCATTTGTAGGATCTGTACCAGCTTCCTGTCCTTTCACCCTGCTCCCCCAGGGTCTGAGTCTCTTGGTTATGAGAGTCTCTCCTTGCAATGAACGTTCACCCCATTTCCATTTTTCATGCCTACTCCCCAGACCCTGGGATTGGGCTGGTGGCAGGTTGCCAGCTGCTCCCCTGGGTTGGGCCACGCTCAGGCCACAGTGTTGAAATGGCTGGGTGGCCTTGGTGGCCTGATCCGCGGAGGAGGGTCAGCCAATGCCCACCCCCACCTCCTCCCCCAGGTGGCGCTGCCGGGCATGCGCTGGGTGGACGGCCACAAGGGTGTGTTCAGCGTGGAGCTCACAGCTGTGTCCTCTGTGCACCCCCAGGTACGGGTGGGGAGGGAAGCCCCACAGTGCCCCTTCCCCTCCCGAGTGCCACACTATTGGGCAACAGTGACTGTCGGCCAAAGAGATCTTGGCCTGAGCTCATGGATGTGACTTTGACCCACTGGGCCGGAAGCTGCTGACTCAGGGGCAGTCTGGAGCGGGGGTTCTGCTTGATGCCATGTGTCCTGCCCCCCAGGACCCCCACCTGGACAAGTTCTTCACTCTGGTGCACGTCCTAGAGGAGGGAGCCTTTCCCTTCCGGCTCAAGGACATCGTGCTGAACGAGAGCACTGTGGAGCAGGAGCTCCGGGGCAGCCTCGCGGCACTGCGCCTAGCCAGCCGCGAGCCCCTGGTTGCCTTCTCCCACCACGTGCTGGACAGGCTGGTGCATCTGGTTGTGCGGCCCCCGATCATTGGTGGCCAGATGGGTGAGCAAGCATGGCCCAGGCCATGGGCATCCCCAGCTGGAAAGAGCCGGAGGTTCCTCCTATATTTATTACTGGCCTCAGTTTCCCCAAATGAAAAATGTCTACCCCCTTCCCTGACCCTAGAGCAGGTCCTTTACGACCCCCTGGAAGTCATACAAATCCTTGGATCCTAATGCTTTCCTCTGAGGGCAAGTGGAAGGGAGAGCCCTCAGACCCTGAAACTTGACCTCTGCTCTGTCCAACAGTGAACTTGGGCCGTGGGGCCTTTGAAGCAATGGCCCACGTAGTCAGCCTTGTCCACCAGAGCCTGGAGGTGGCGCAGGATGCCCGTGGTCACTGCCCGCTGCTGGCTGCCTATGTCCACTACGCCTTTCGCCTCCCTGGGGCTGAGCCTAGCCTCGCAGGTGGTGAGTGTTGGTGAGAAGCCTTGAGACTTGGAGAATCAGCAGCACAGGCAAGGGCCCTGGGCCTGCACAGAGCTACCTGGTTTTCAGCTTGTAGCAAAGATGGCCTCACTCACTTCCACCCCAGGCTTGTGGTCTCTTAACTTTCATTAGTAGCTTGGAGCAGGGACTCAAGGGGCGTTCTGTGATCTTTGGTATGTCCTAAATAGCTAGAAAGCAGTAGCTTTCTGTGCCTGTTTTACAATGACCAACCAATGCAGAGCACAGTGACTTCACCAAGGGCTGCCAGGTAGGCATGGCTGGGGGGTCACAAGGGCAGGTGGGCTGTGGCTGACACTGTCCCCTCTGTTGTCAGGGGCCCCTCCAGTGGCGGTGCAGGCGGCCACCCTGTCTCGTGGCTCGGGCCGCCCCGCCAGCCTCTATCTGGCCCGTTCTAAGAGCATCAGCAGCAGCAACCCTGACCTGGCAGTGGTCCCCGGCTCAGTGGACGACGAGGTCTCCCGTATCCTGGCCAGCAAGGTAGGGTGAGGGGCCTTCAGATCTCCAAGCTCGGTGGCTGTGGCTCCCACTTAGGCAGTGAAGGTGCTCACGGATGCAAGGCGAGAAGCAGCCGGACCTCAGCTCAGAGGAAGGCTGACTCCTGGCAGCAAGACCGGGCTGAGGTGTCCTGGGATGAGGGCTGGAACTCAGACTTGTGCTGGGCTCGGGACTCCACAACTGCAGGGAGGATGTGGGCGTGGCCTGTGAAAAGGCAGTGTGTGTAACATCAAGGGTTTTACATCCGTGCAGCCATGCACACGTGGGGACAGGCACATATGTGTGTGCAGCCCATGCACATGTGTGGCTGCATATATACGTGCCCCACATGTATGCGTGCATGGTCTTATTTGTGTGTTCCCCAAGCATACAGTGCTCAGGTGCACATCCACATTTGTGCACGGGCATGTATGTATGTATGTGTACACACATGTGGGCGCACACATACACCTGTACACGCTTGTGTGCATGTGCTCAGGTTCGTAGATTATACAGGCGTGCCCTAAGCACATAGGTACTTGGATGCACATACAAGGGTGCCCCACATACTCAGGTGCACACATGCATGCTTCATATGCGAACTACAGATGGGTGCATATGCATATGTGCCTTGCGCATTTACACAGTCCG